GGATGCATGCATAATATGAGATTAAATGAGTTATAAATGAACTATTTTGTGAAATAGGCATTTTACTCATGTATGAATTATGAGGATACATAAATGGATATTTATGTATTGAGATTGAATACTTAAGTTGTTGCTACATAATTATAAATATGTAGAGAATTACAAAATGAGAAGATTTGTATGATAACAATGATCTTAATAGTATTGAAATACTAGTTAGTGATTATTGGAAATTGTTGTTGGAATTGATCCTAGCTTAGGGATTGGATTGTATGAAATGCACTTGAATATACTTCAAGTGTATATGATGACTTAGTATGAAACTAAGGTTAAGTTGTGGGAAGTCTTCAAGGATGACCCATGGTAGTTTATTGATATGTCAATTCTAGGCATAGGGTTGCTTAAGAATTGGACCTTGATGCATGGTGATGTGATAGAGACGAGCTCTAGGATGCATGGTAAGGTGGTAGACTTGTAGTATATGTATTGTATAACTAGAGCCGAGCTCTAGAGATTGCGTGGTGATGTGATAGAGCTGAGCTCTAGAACGCAAGGTAAGGAAATTGACCCGAGTGATATGAATTGTATGGTGATGTGGTAGAGCCGAGCTCTAGAATACAATGTCATGTATTAGGGTTGGACTCTATGAGTTGTCGTGGCTTATAGTCACGGGGAATGGGAATGGTGATTTCTAAATGAACATGGGCCCACAGGCCGACTACTCGACTTTTTTTTAAAACTAAATAGAAAATTTAATCTCTAACAGAAGGAATGCCATAGAAATCAATCCAAAAAGAACGTTTAGCTAATAAGGGGAGCTGATCAAGCTGCGCATAAGATACCCGACTGGAGACATCTTCTTGGGCCAAAAAATGTGCAGCCCAATTTCCTTCTCGCATTACATGCCCAAAGGATATTTGTTGTCTGATTTTCATCTGTGAAGTTTCCTGAAATATATCCGTCCAACGTCTTCCTTCTTCTCTAGCGATAAGATGAACCGCCATAAGTGAATCAGATTCCACATAAAAGCCTTCATGCCCGATTTCAATCGCCCACTTAGACGCATAGAGGATAGCTCAGAGTTCAGCATCCAGAGGAGATCGAGCTTGCAGTGGGAAGCTTATGGCAGAGACAAAATCTCCATTTCTATCTCTCAAAATCGCGCCTCCTATAGCCTTGCCAGATAAGTAACTCGCATCAACATTAAGTTTCCATTTGCCTGTAGGTTTATTCCATCGAATAATCTGAGGCCTGAAACCACTGAGTTTAAAGTTCTTAGGGACTAAACCCTCTTCATAAAGAATCTGTTCAATAACCATGATTTTGGGTATCGGGATGCTTGAAATCCAGACCTGCGTGTATATTTTAATCTGTAATATTATGTGCTCCGAGTTTGAAGCAACTCTTCCTGATCCCCAAATTAGGGAAGAATATGTTTTCCACAAATACCAGCATATGATTCCAGGAAAATTTTTCCTAAAGAAGTCCAACAAGCTGCTCTTGTTTATTTTTATTTTCCAATTTAAGAAGTTACCATAGTCAATTCCCGGACCTTGAAAAAAGTCCAAAATATTCAAGAAGTAATGCCACACCTTTTTACTGATAGAGCATTGGAAGAACAAGTGTTTCATAGTATCTGCATCTTTCCTACAAAGAGGACAAATAGAGGGGTTAAGGATCAAATTGAACCTACTTAAATTGTCTGAGGTAGGCAGGATGCTTTTGCTTAATTTCCACTGAAGAAGCTTAATCTTGAGCTCAGTATTGGACTCCCATATCTGTTGATTAGCATATGAACTGAAAGCTATTTCCCTCACTTCTTCATAGGCTGTTTTAAAACTGAACTGACCACTTTCCTCTTCCTCCCAGGTGATACTCCCAGAGTGATCAATGGAGCAAAGTTCTAAAGCTTGGCCATGGGCTGAGCAAATTCTCTTCCATATTGCAGAATCTGTAAGCTTAGGTATCATGTTACCCCCTCTATCATACTTAATTCTCATAAAACGACTCCAAATAGAATCCCCTGTTTTCCATTTCCACCAAAGCTTGAGGGAAAACGCTTTTTCAAGGGCAGTCAATGATCTAATGCCTAGACCCCCTTCAATGGTTGGCAAACAAAGCTTTTCCCAATGTCTCCAATGATATTTCTTCTTCACATCTGATGAACCCCAAAAAAATGATGCCATTTTTCTGTTAAGAATCTTAACAACTTTTTTGGGTAAAGTATCAGCTGCCAAAATATGCAGGGGGAGTGAGTTAAGAACATATTTGATAAGAATAAGTCTCCCTCCTTGAGACAATATTTTTTGTTTCCAAGGGGAGAGTTTATTCTCAAACTGCTAATAAGACTCCCACAGTAATCAAATCTATTTATGCCTTTATGCAGTTTAACCCCCAGATATTTGATTGGGAGAGAGGCCTTTTTCATGCCCAATAAATCCTTAATCCTGGACTGTCTATTATGACCAGAGCTGCCACAAACAAAGGAACATTTATCCAAATTAATCAGCTGCCCAGACACCTCTTGGTAGGAATGAAGAAAGCTCTTGAAGTTGAGAAGGGATCTGGCCTCTCCATTCAGAAAAATTAATAAGTCATCCGCAAACCAAAGGTGAGAAATAGGTATCCCATGTTTTCCAGTCCAGTAAGGTTTTATTTTGCCCTCCATCATTAAGCCATTAAGCCCTCTAGAAAAAGCTTTTGAAGCAATGATAAACAGAAAAGGGGATAGAGGGTCCCCCTGTTTAACCCCTCTGGAGGGTTTAAAAAAACCATGAGAAGAGCCATTTATCAGAATAGAGAAATAAGATGCTTGTAAATGGTTCATTATAAGCTGAACGAAAAAAGAGGAAAATCCAAACTTAAGAAGAATGGCAGATAGAAAATTCCAGGAGACCCTATCAAAGGTCTTTGCCATGTCCAATTTGATCATAAGATTATTACCCCTCACCTTCTTATCAATATGATGAACAAGTTCCTGAGCAATCAGGACCTGTTCTGCTGAATCTCTCCCTGCCATAAATCCAACTTGTTCTATAGAAATGATCTTAGGTAAAACAAGTTTTAACCTGGTAGCCAAAACTTTAGTGCAGATCTTACACACAAAATTTGATAAGCATATAGGTCTAAATTCACTAAAGTTTGAAGGCCTCTCCTTCTTATGTATAAGGATAATTAAGGCACTTGCTAACCCTTTATGAATAGGAGTTCCCAAAAAATAATCTTGGACTGCCCTTAAGACATCACCACCAAGAAATATCCCAACATTTTCTAAAAAACTTCCCATGAAAACCATCTGGTCCAGGAGCACTGTTGTGATCAAGATCCCAGACAGCCTGCTTTACTTCCTCCAACTCTGGCATTTTTAGAAGGTCATTGTTCTCTTCCTCAGTGACCAATTCTGGGATGTAATCTAACATGTTATTGTTTTCAGGAATCACATCAGTAGAGGAAGCAGTAAAGAGCTGAGAAAAGAATTGCACTGCTGCATCTCCTATAAGATTAGGAGTATTTAGATCTGTCCCATTATGGTCTTTAATAAAGGTAATACTCTGTTTCCTTCTTCTAATTTGAACGAAGGAGTGAATTTTTTTTTAAATACTATCCCCTTCTTTAATCCATCTAAGGAGGGCCTTCTGTTTCCAAAACTTCTTTTCCAAATTGTGTTTGCTGATCAATAAACCCCTTTTAAAAAACCAGTCCTCCCTGGTAAGATCACAAGGGTTTTCTTCAAATGCCATTTCAGCTTTTAAGACCTCATCTTCACACTGTTTTATCTGATCAAAAATATTCCCAAAAACATTTTTATTCCAGATTCTCAGTTCCTTCTTAAGATTCTGCAATTTATATGTAAGACCTCTCATGCCACCTTGATGACCAGCATAATCCCATTTTGCCTTAACCAATGGCATAAATGAATTATTGCTTAGCCACATATTCTGGAATTTGAAACTTTTAGGACAAGAACCCACCTCATAAGAGCAAATAATCAAGATTGGGTTATGGTCTGAAGGGGTTTTATTCAAAAGAGAAACTTGAATATTGTCAAACGGGGTAACTATAGACTACTCGACTTTTACATAAGGCCGGTAAGTATATTTTCAAACGGGGTAACTTAGGGTTACAACCATAATGTACAATCACTCTATTAGATGCCATCCACACCAGTACTTTATAGCCCTATAGAGTACTGACCCCTTCAGGGGCGTCCCACCACCATTTCAGGTTGAGGCTAGAGCTTGCTTCCTGTGCTCGTTGCTTGAGTTATTTCCCCGGAGAGAAGACTTGGTTCATGCTTCCCCCACTCTGTTTTAGAACATTTATAAACATGCTCATGGATATTTTACTATAGAGCCTGCGTGCTCATGAATAGCCATGTGTGGCCCTTTTGTTTTAAACAATGTTTTCCGCTGCGTTATGAATTACTTATTATGTTTGTTTATGGATGTTATGTGTGTGAATGATATTCAAGACACCTTGTATAATATGAATGTGTTGGACTGCGGTTTACTATTCGTATTGTACGGCGGGTTGTTGACGTGTTCGGGGAGGTCCGGGGCGTGACATATCTGGTGTTGATGCCCAAATTGTTGTTGACAAATTATTCAGGAAGCAAGATGTGTGTTCTGCCTTCTTTTTTTTTTACTACGGTGTTGATGATACTGACCAATTAACAAGGTTGTTTTGGGCTGATACTATTTGCCGCAAAAATTATGCATTGTTTGGTGATGTTGTTTCGTTTGATGCAACCTATGGAACGAATAGGTTTGTTTCCATTATATTTTGTTTCATTGAAATTCCCCTTATTTAATCTGTGTTTCTTCTGCACTTAACAACACTAAAACTTGCATCTTTCTTTGTTATGTTATGCACCACGTAGTATTGTGTTTATTAAAATGGTTTCATTCTTGTTTGTGTAGGTACAATATGGTTTTTGGACCTTTTACCGGCGTTGATAATCACAGAAAGTGCATCACTTTTGGTGCTGGGTTGTTATTGAAGGAGGATGTGGAATCATATGTTTGGCTTTTTACTCATTTTATTAATGCAATGGCACGTCAACCAACATGTATTATTACCGATCAAGATCCAGCGATGCGGATTGCCATTGAGAAGGTATGTACATCATCCAAACACCGCTATAGTATGTGGCATATTATGAACAAAGTCACTCAAAAGGTAGGTCCAGTTTTAAGCAAAAATGAAACATTTATGTCTTCATTGAATTCAATTGTTTGGAGCCATTACTTAGAACCATCTAAATTTGAAGAAAAGTGGATCTTTCTGATGCATGAATATGAATTGACAACTCATGACTGGTTTTGCCATATGTTTGAGCTTCGTAGATGGTGGATTCCGTCTTACTTTAGAGATCTATTTATGGCTGGATTGCTTCGTACAACGTCACGTTCTGAAAATGAAAATTCCTTTTTTCGTGAATTTACCAACCCACATTTCAGTTTAATAGAATTTCTTATGCAGTTTGAGAGTGCAATGGATGCACAAAGGCATGTACATGATAAGTTGAACTCAGAGTCAGAATCGTACATTCCAGACTTGAAGACTCCTTTACCTTTGGAGAAGGCTGCGTCAGATGTATTCACACTTTCTGTCTTCTATGATATTCAGTCGGAGTTGTGTTTAGGTTGCTTCTCATGTCGTGTTTTGCGTGTGCATGACGTTGATGGTGATTTTGAGTATGAAATTTCTGATGATCGTAATTTGGTGTTTAGAGTTGAGTTGAGCATGTCCAATATGAAGGCCATGTGTACTTGTAAATATTATGAGCGGATTGGCATGGTCTGTCGACACAATTTTGTTTTTCTAAAGGATTTCAAATTGTTCTAAAGGATTTCAAATTGGAACGCATTCCAGATCATTTAATAGCAGATGGTGTAAGAAGGGTTTAGTGAAGCCATTGGTTGCAATTTCAGATTCCATACTTGAGCAGACTACATTGTGGAGGATAATAAGATGTCTGTTAACACTCTATGGTCTGACATATATGCTTGCATGGCCCTTGTTGAAAATAATCCTAGCTATTTGAAGAAATTTTCAGGTATAATTAAAGAGCAAAAGGATATTCTGCTTTCTCTACACGAAGGTGTTGGTCACGATTCAACAAAGAAGTCATTAATTGAATCATTTTACGGTTCTAGTGTGCCATTCGAAGTCACTGTTCATCCCCCGTAGCAGGCCAAAAATAAGGGTTCTGGACGTAGGTTGAGGTCTTCCAAGGAAGTTTCAATTGAAGAATCTCAACGTCCCAAAAGGCTTTGTAGATCGTGCAATGAGATGGGGCATCACGACAGTAGGAATTGCCCTTTGAATAAATAGGCTTGATTAAAGTTGAAGTGTGTTTGCATTTTTGGTTGTTTGACATTACAATGACAATTGTATGTTGGAATAGAATATAGTTTTATGTTATTGGTTTAGTATTTTACCTTTTTCTTATATGTTTTCAATGTTTCCTTATTGTTATTGTCTGTTTACCATTTGCAGTAATGCATATTCGATTATGAATCATTGTATCCAAAGTATTGCAAATTATTTACTGCCTTCAATGCCACTTTACAAGGCATTTAACCGTTAATAGCATCTTATGTACCATAGTTTTGCACTTTTCTATGTTCTGTATTGCATATTACCAATTCAAGTTAACATTATACGTATATGTAACTGTAACTACGTGGATGTATGTGTTAATTAGTTTTTTTATCATGATCAATTAATTAGTAGTATAAATCATCACAGAATAAGTTCAATTGGAGAAAAGAATATAAAGATCATTTTTTGTGGCCTGCCTGAAACATTTGCACTGGGAAAGCTTGCAAACGATGAAGCGTGGGCATAGGAATGAGTTTAGTGCATACGGAGCACTAATCGTGTTAATTTATATAAGGGAGGGACATAGTTGATAATTTCATCCCAAAATTACCGATAGATCACACGGGTGGTCTCATTTTAGGAAATCATTGAAAGAAGTCTTAGATTTGTCCAACCACTTTTAACACTTTTAATTAGTATTATTCATGACGTAACCCCTATATATATATATATATATATATATATATATATATATATATATATATATATATATATATATATATATATATATATATATATATATATATAGGGGTTAGTTCCTGTGAGAACACCCTCTTAGGAGAGGAAAAAAGATTAAAATCCAACCATTGAATAATCTAATCGTGTGTCTAAGATGAGGGCTTGGGTTTTTAAAAAACACACCTGCAGCTCACATGATTGAACGAAAAACGAAATGAGTGCATTAAAGTAAAAGAACTAAGGGTAAATTAGTAAAAGTTATTTGAATCCTAATAACTACACACCTACGTAACTAGTGGACTTTGGTGAAGTAAGTTGGAAGGTCCGGATATTTCTCTACTATTTATGGTAATTGATCCATTCAATAGTTGGAAGATTTCTAATAATTTGGAAAATTAAATGCTCCCACTAGTATGACACTATTATGTTTTGTTTTTCAATTTGACGTTCAAATTCCAAAATCAAATTATTTTATTTTGTTGCATTAATAACGTAATTTAATTTCATATTATATATCTCCTCATAAATATTAAATTTCAGTTGATCAAAAGTGTTGCACCACAACTTTGTATGAATGCACTGTTTTTTTGAAAACGAATGCACTTTTATTAAAAATACTATACACAAGTAATATCACAAGATTTACACTCATGAGTATAGAACAGCTGCATTTTTACTGTAAAATTTCTGCAACGTTAAAATAGTTAATGATTTGATTTTTTTAACAAACAATCATGTAAATAATCAACACCATTTATCAATGAAATGAATATGAAGTGACATGCCATTTTAATACATAATACTCCACTTTTGTAAATTGCACGTTTATTTCATTAGCTCGCACTCTCTAAATATTATATTGCACTTCAAACATGCATGTGCGCACTTCCATACATTTTAATCAAAACGATTTAAAATAAACTAAAGTAAATACACAAGGGTGTGGATTAACAACTATCACTTGTAATTTAAATATATAGAAAACACCATTTTTATATCATGCTTTCTAAACCTCTAAACTAACACCTTTTTATAAAATGAAATGCACTTTAATAGTGTTCATTATTATATACGCAAAAGTGCACTATTATATAACAAACTTATACGAAGTAAAATTTAACATATGCACTTTTCACAAAAATGAAATGCACGTTTCTTTCAAATGCATCACAATGTTCGTTATCATGTGTCTTCTTACTACACTTCACATACGCCTTTTAAGACCTTGTTGTTGGGACAATCTATATCATCCATGCCGCTCGCATGATTCGTCTTGATACATCCATTTATTGCTAAATCCATTGCAATGCAATCAAAATCATGATAAAGTGCACCATATGTAGTTGTGAACGTGCATAAAAAATTATAGAACATAATAGTGCACTAGAAGTGCATTAATAATCCATGTGTCAGTGAGTGCACTTGTTGTGATTTAGATAGGAATATCATAGCACACATAAAATAATAAATATTATTAAAATGAAAGAAAATATTTGAAAAAATCGAGAGTAAGCATTTCAATTTTAGTGCAAGTAAGCAAAATAGTTAACAATATAAACACATATCTAAAAAAATGTTGTAATGCAAAATGTGTATTACATAAAATAGTTTAGTGCATCGTAATTAACAACACACTCTATGCAAAGTAATAAGTGAAAAATAATTTCAGAAAAATCAATAAAAACAAATAACTGTTCAGGAACCAAAAAAATATGGCCATATATATAACCCACTAAAATCTCAAAAATGGAAAAGTGAAACCCATAACAATATAGAATAGAATATGCGTACGTATGGAGCTACGTTGAAATGACTGGAAGAATTATGAAAATATATTGAATTTGTGCTAATTGAAATTCATATCCAGAAGATTCCTTGAGTGGATAACTATTAAGGTACGGTGGATTTTCACACTTAAGATTTTGATAAGGAAAGAATTTGGCAAAATAATTAAGGAAGGAAACGGTAGTCAGAATGAAAAAGTCGTAAATACCCTAGAGGAGCATTAATCGTATGAGTGAATTGGAGTGAGATCTAATGGTTGATATCTATTCTTTTTTCCTCTCCTAAGATTAAGTTCTCACATGAACCTAAATCTATATATATATATATATATATATAGATTTTGGTTCAAATGAGAACACCTCTTAATGTGAGAAGTGAGAACAAATCCTCACCCTCCAAAATATATGTAGATCTACGATGAAGTGAATGACACCAGAGGGCATTTATGTACTATTCTTTGGTGGCTAACGGATCTTGTATTTAATGTGTTCCACATATTTAGGGATGGAAAGAATAAATTGCATGCCATATTAATTTTTTATTGCTTCTTACGAAAACTTTTTCTCACCTTTCAATTTATGAAACAAGGAAAGAGAATACAATTTCCTTTTTATTCAATTATCCCTTCAATAATCTTTATACTTAATTGTTAATCGATCACCATATCATAATTATATTTTTAACATAAATTTTCCTTTTTATGTTATATATGAAATGTGAGTTAGATACAAGTTCATGTGCATTACATAAATGAATTGTGTGTCAGATATAAGTTCACGTGCATTCCATATTCGAGGTTGTGTGTTAGATATCAGTTCTTGTGCAGTTGTGCATGACATACTTGTTGTGATTCTCCATGTCCATACTATGTGCCAAATATGAGTTCTTTAACGTATATACATATTGTGCTTTAGACACTAGTTCATGTGTACAATATGAAATCCTTGTGGTTAGATATTAGTCCTTAATTGTTGTGCGTTAGATATTACTTTTTGTGATTGAGTTACTTGTTATGGTGCTTTATATACAAAGTATGTGTAACATCCTACTTTTCACGTGCATTAAATATTGATGGTTGTGTGTTAAATATATGTTCTTGTGTGTGCGGTAGTTGGAGATGGTTGTTGTGGTTTATTGTATACCTATTGTGCTTATTTTTTTTAAAAATAATTATATATGCAATATTGGTGTCATTTGAAAGATAATAAAAAATTATTTAATTTGATATATCTTTTTATAAAATTGGATTATAATTTAAAAAGTTAAATCAAATTTAAACTAAAAATAATTCATATCATTTGACTCCTTATTTTAACCTACATTTTCGGAAATGGGTTCTCCAACTAGTGCATTAAATTAAAACATGATACGGAAGTGCTGCCCCATAAAAGGAATGTGCTATGTAAATTACCAATTCACCCTTAATTATTTAGACGTTCCTATTACCGTTTCTAAGAGATGGAGTACAATGTGAGAAAGTGCATCTCTTGTATTATGCACCAATTAAGTAATAGCCGATCATTTAATTAGATGGATGGTTAGGATTTGTTCTCACTTCTCACAATAAGAGGTGTTCTCATTAGAACCGCTCCCTATATATATATATATATATATATATATATATATAGAGAGAGAGAGAGAGAGAGGAATGTTCAGGTTCGAAAATTCCCCGTCCGAGCACCGTCTGAACATGGACGTTTGGGCCACTTCCTGCTGGAAATTTTTGATGAAATGTTTTGAGCATGTTCTTCATCAAGTCTAGTTTGTCCATACCAAATTTCAGATCAAAATTCGATCGGGAAGGCATTCAAATCATTTTTTGAAGTTGACTGCGTCAAAATATACATATAAAAACGCAGTCAACTTCGAAAAATGATTTGAATGTCTTCCCGATCTAATTTTGAGCTGAAATGTG